GGTATGTTCTGAGTCGGAGTTATCGGTTGTAGTTTGCTTTTGCATTTGTATATTAGTCCATTTCTGTTGCTTACAACAGAATACTTGAAACTGGGTAGTTTGTAAAGAAACAATATTGATTTCTTACAGTTTGGAGGCTGGGAAGCCCAAAGTCCAGGGACCACATATGGTGAAGTCCTTCTTGGGTGGTGACTCACCCAGAGGCACAGGACATCACATGGCATATGGTCTGAGCAGGAAGAGAGCTGACCTTCTCACTTGCTCTCCTTTTAAAGCCATCAGAACCCTGCCCATTACTCCGTGACACTGATGAGGGCGTGGTCCTCACAATCTAATCACCTCTTAAAGGCCCCACCTTTCAATTTCCCACCTTCTTAACACTGTCACAGTGAGGATTAAGTTTCTAATACATGAATCTTTGGGGGACACATTCAACCTCTAGTAATAGCTATGCAATGGGCTAGGCTAGAATCAATGCCTGAGTTCTACTTGGAATACCCCTGTCTTAGATTCTCCATTAATTTACAGATATGATTTCATCCCTTATGAGTAAAGGCTATAACATCTTTTTTACCCTGAGCTTACTCATCAGCAGCCTTAATTATCTAAAATATGGCCCAGACCTAGGAATGACAATAACAAAACAAAAACAAAAACAAAAATAACACTCCAGCCACTAGAATGGATGCCCTAACATCTACCTATAAGGGCTTCTGCTTTTTACACATTGGCCAGGTCTCAGACCCTTACAATTCTAATAAGCTTGGTGTCATGGTTCCCTGCCCACAAAAGATTGGAAGCAGCAAGTTTAAAGTAGAGTAAAGGGAAAGAAGTAAAATATGGGATTGGGGTGAAGTTTACAATGACAATTGATGGTAGAAAGAATAGCTTTGAAATTTTCATGGTTATTTAGTTTTACAAATCCTGTTCATACCTCAAAAATAGTAATTCAGGTCTTAGACAAGTGGCACTCAACCCTGGCTGCACCTTAGAATCACCTGAGAAGTCCTTTTAAAAAAGAAAAAAAAAGTTAATTCTCAAGCCTCAATCTCAGACATTCTGATCTAATTGGTCTGGGGCGGGATCCAGGCACAGGTATTTTATTAAAGCTTCTCAGGTGATTCTTAGTAGGTTAGGGATGGTCAGTACAGGGCTCAGAGGTGGGACACCTGAGCAGGCTCTAAGTCTGTTCTTTACAGCTTGCCACAATCATTGGCAATGATTGATTAGGATGACCTTCATTCCCAGGATTTTTTTTTAAGAGGAAAATACTGTATATTAGAAGTGATTTTGACAGAAAATAAGATAGCCTAGAACTATATGATGTAGAAACATATCTAACTGCTGTGTCACAGTTAGAGAAATCTATTGGTGGGATAGGACAGATGCCCACCATCTCTCCCTCCTGATGCCCCCTGTAGACGAACATTTATGTGCCCACAAATCACCTGGGGGTCCTGTTACAATGCAGATTCCGACTCAGTTGGTCTGGGGAGGGCTGGAAATTCTGCATTTCTCATGAGCTCCAAGTGCTGCTGTAGGTGGTCCAGAGGCTGCGCCTGGAGTAATAAGGGTCTTGCTGATGTCCATGACTCTCCGACGACCCCCTTCTTTGAAACTGACACAAGACGGATGGCTTCCTTCAGAGCCACTGTGCTCAAAACTGTAGGCTTTTTCTGCATTTCTCATGAGCTCCAAGTGCTGCTGTAGGTGGTCCAGAGGCTGCGCCTGGAGTAACAAGGGTCTTGCTGATGTCCATGACTCTCCGACGACTCCCTTCTTTGAAACTGACACAAGACGGATGGCTTCCTTCAGAGCCACTGTGCTCAAAACTGAACTAGTGTCATGAGTTTGTCCCTTAACTATTCCCTTCTCCCACTAGGCCACTTTATTGGAGGATCAAGGACTGTTGAGCTAGAAACGGTCTTATAGTGCATCTAGCTTGGCCCACTCATTACAAAAGTGTGGCACTGAGACCGAGTTGGCAAAGGATTTCCCATATTCACAGGTGACAGTGATAAAGTCAAAACTAGATGTAAGCCAGGACATGAAAACAACAGTTAAGGATTCTGTCCAAATGATCGCTTCCATAACTTTCAGTGTGAAACATCCATTTGCTTATCCTCAGGGAACTTGCAGACTAATAAAGGAAAGAGTCAGAAAGAAACATAAAATTCTAAAGCAAGGCTGACCGGCATGAGAGCCCTGAGATGGGGCAGGTAACATGCTGGGGAGGCTCCCTGTCTCCTAGACCACACAATAGCTATTGTTTCCCCTTCTGTTAAATTTCCATGAAAATGGCTAAAGGCCTCCACAAAAGCTGCCCCATGAACTCCTCAGCCATCATTATTTAATTTTCATTTTTTGGAACCCCTTCTCAAATAACTTTCTAAATCCCACACAAGAATGACACATACTCTTGCTCAATATTAAGATGACTTTGTGCAAAATTGAAATAAATTGCTCTTCCAAAGTGGGGAGGGAGGCAATCATGGAATCACATTCCCAGAACATTCAGAAGCTTACCCAGCCCAGAGGGTTCTGATTCTTGCTCCATTATTTGTTTCTTCATGGCCTCTTAGAAAAGCAGAGGCAGTGCAAATGAAATCGCCAAATCCAGTGGCATTCTGGACCCTCAGGCCATTGATGTGGCTGGTCAGTGGCGACAGTGGCTCCTGGATTACCCTTCCCTTGACACAAAAAGCCATTCCAGCAGCACTGTTTAAACTGGACTTGTTATCATTTCTGACCTCAAAGCTCTGGACTGGGCTGAGACTCCCCCAGCAGAGCTTATTACCAAGGTTTTCATCTTGCTATGTGGCTACTGTAGTCAAGAGCCATCCACAGGGAAATCAGCCTGAAAGATACAAGTTTGCATATTAAATACTAACACTACCAGGGTCTGTGCTGGAAAAGAGGTTTGCTGGGCTCATGGCCCCCTCCCTTCACCCCCAACTTTACCTGGCTTTTGTCTTCTATTTTGTGTTTCTGGTGAATACAATTATATCTCTATTACCTTAGGCCACTTCAAACATTCTTGGGAATTAGGCTGTCCGGATAGGCAGAGAGCAGATACCCACCTGCCAGGAGGATCAGGTGTCATCACCTGATCACTCATTTTCACTTTCATGACATTTCAGAAGACCACAAATTAGTTTTTTAGTGCCTAGTCAGAGAGACGGGAAAGAGCTAGAAGTTAGGCACCAGGGGTAATGTTTGAGCAATGGGGCTGGAGCTGGTTTTACATGTTTCTCATTGTACTTTCTTAATTGCCTTAATGGGCATGTGTTACTGCAAAATTAAGTGAAATTGCTTTCCCTATTTGTTGTAATTTAGAGAAAGATGGTTTTGATCATTTAACCCAGGGACTTTTCAAGTCCATTGATCTTGGGGTGGAGGAAGGGGTTTCTTTGAACTATGCTTTCACTCATGAACTCAAAGCATAAAGGGAACAAACCCATGTTTCTTCACCACCATGTTTTGCAATGGCTATTAGATGACCACAGCATCGTGACAGCCATGGAAAATGAACGTCTTGCCTGTGGGAGAGGGAGGGGAACTTCAAGAATTGTACTTTGCCAAGCAAATTGATTCTGACACCCCAAAGCACAAAGGCACAAGCTGGAGGTGATTCAGTGAACCTGGGAAAGCCCAGGCCTGGTTCAGGCTCGCGCGGGTCTCTTCTGATCCCAGAAGCTGTGGAGGGGGCCCGGGCTTTGGGTCGCCTGGCGTCGACTGAGTTCCGAGCAGGAGCCCAGAGCCCCAGTGTGGGGTGTGCCATAAGCAGCCACACACAGTGGCTGACTTGGACAGTTGGGTCCGGGAGTCAAGGGGAGCAGAGGGCGGCCGCGTCCCTCAACAGAAGAAAGAGCCGAGGACACAGACCGGGGCACCTCTCCAGCAGTGGGGAGTGAGGGGCTGCGGGCAAGGCTGGCTGGAGCCCTTGTGTGAGACCCCGGCTCACTGGGACGCTGAGTGCGCTCCTACAAGCTGCCTGGGTTCCAGAGAGCGAGTCAGGCCTGAAGCCAGACAGGTTGGGGATTCTGCTGGTCGCCCCGCCCACACGGCCTCGTGCCCCGCCCCTGGCCCCACCCCA